TGCTACCAAATGCTACTCTCCCAAGTCCTCTTCTCACGGGTCTGCCCCATACTACTCCCTGCTATACTCTGCTACTTTCCTCTGAACCTTCTCTTCAAGCGTGTGCACCATGCTATCCGCTGCTATTCTTAACTCTCTTCTCACACGTGTACATCATGCGACTCTATGCTACCCACTGCTATCTACCTATCAGCTCCTACATCTCCTGACTTCGCCATACTGTTCCATGCTAACGCTTGGTATACTCCTCTGGATCTTATTTCCTTGTGTCTGAACCATGCTGCTCCATGATATCCGGTGCTACTAAATAAGTCATGCCCTAGGGGCATGTCATTCCCCCTATATCAACCTGGTGATGATAAAAAGCAAAAAATATCTCTTGAAACAGACACGAACCACTGAGTATTCATCAGATCCACTTGGTGCACTGACCATGTCAAACCTTTGCCTTCTACTTGCTTTTATTCTGGTTTTCACATTTTTAGAGCGTCCTCCAGTGACGACTTCTTATAATACTGTCTTGAACAAGTGAAATGGGAAGTTGGTCCATTCTTGAAGGTGTTGAGTTGTGAAAAATGTGTTTCCAACATCGATTCTTTCTTCATCTATGATGTTCCCATGTGGCATCCCAGAGAACCACTAAACTGCCCAGTATGTAGTCTGCCTGTTGTTCAGACTGAATGGACCGGAGAGACTACTAGACACAGAATCAGATTGTTTTATGGACTGGATTCCACACAAGACCGACTCATTACAATTTTGATTGCAAATGATTCCACTTCATTTCATTCTTGAATGTTGAAGTTACCCGTCGAGGTTATTAGCAAATTGGTTGTGTTTCATCATTTTCATTCTATTTCATTTCATTGGCAAATTTTGAAGTTATGGAGTGAAGTGGGAGCCGATGAAAAGTGATAAAAGAGGAGCAAAGGATAGGTCTGGAGCATACCAATGAGAATAGGGTACTGAGATATTTTCAGAAGGTAGAATGCAACAGTAAGGAATACATACGGGAGAGTAAGGCAGAAAGGACAGTAGCATTGAGTAAACCGGAAGAAAAGATTACGAAAGAGACAACAACGCGGTAGCATGGAGAAGCATGGTCGAGTCGGGAGATGTGACAGCTGAAAGGAGGATAGCAGTGGGTAGCACAGAGTAGCATGATATACACGTGTGAGAAGAGAGTTAAGACAAGAATAGCAGTGGATAGCATAGAGTAGCACGGTGCAGACAAAGTAGAATACGATATAGAAGATGGTAGCAATGAGTAACATGGTGCAGAGAGGGGAGAATATGGCACAGATTAGAGTAGCATGGGGTAGCATGATTCGTATGGTGCATACTATAGAGCGTCAATGGTGTATACAGGAGAGGAGTTACATGACGAATTTCGCTGAAAGCAAATGGAGCCTCTACCCTTTTCATTGTTGGTGCTATACCATTTCATTATATCAAAAAAGATTTTAGAAATAATGGAGACTCCTGGGGACACATAAATAGATCCTCCAACGATGCCTGGGTTAACATTCCATCAACAACAAAAAGTGACTAACATTTGTCTGTAAGAGTAAGCTACATGAAATTTGTCTCAGATGGTTGACTTATGCACCAACTCAAATCTGCCCCAAAACCAGTATCCTTTCCTTTACTTCTTTATCCTTTAGATTTGCAATACTTGTTTCATCACCACCACCAAGCTATCCAACTAAGGTTCTTCATATACATGCAACCATGTGAATGCTTGTATACGTGTAGCTTAAATACAGCTGTCCTCTTTACACAAAAAAATACAAGTCAGAACTGGCCTAGTGCGACAAGCTGGGTCACAGAGGCTTCATTTCATTCATCATATCTAATCGAATCGAAGGCCCGCCCAAGGTTACATTTTGTTGCCTATAAACGTCGTCTCCTCGACTGACTCACCAGACTCGAAACACTTAAATGCAAATCTAAGTGCAAATGGAGACCACGAAAAATTGGTCGTTTATTGCAATATAGCCAAAAGGCATGTATGCTTTCACATCGAGAAGGCAGGTTTCCCGCCGAAAACATGGCCATGGCAATCCCTGCGAAAGGCGACGCCCCTCCCCGGTCGGCCTCCGACGAGCACGGCAACATGGCGTAGTTGCAAGGTCAGTTACTTCACCATTATCGTCATCGCGGATTCACGGCCTCATCGCACATATTAGGAAGGATCCTCTGTTTCAAAAATAAGGTACACCTGCTTACCTCATGCATCTGATTCACAGCGCTTATGGTCCACAGGGAAGCTCTAGATCCCGAAGATTCCCGAAGAAGGGGAACAATAAAGAGAACAAGTTGACAACGCAGCCTGATGGAAAACGCAGCTGTGCAATGGCTTCTCTCGCAAGCACGGATGCTGTATTGGATAGGTCCCTGGTTGACAGTCTGATATGAAGATACAGGTTGATAGTTTGCAAGTATCGAAGAGTCTCAGCCGAAAAATTACCTTCTCGGAAAGTACTTAATCTGTATTTGAAAGTTTGACTGCAATAGACAAGGAGCAGGGTTGGTTGATAAATACATACATAACTAAAAAAAAAGAATTATTTCCCTTCTCAATTCCCGGAAGTGACGTACATTCCCATTTCCTCAGCCCTCCGGTGCAGGTAGGCCCTACGCCTTGCTGTTTTACCATGAAATTCTTCTTGATCTCGCATTAAAACGGTGGAGAACAGATCCTCAGGGTATCCGCTTGTTACCTGGTCTAGCAGTCTAGTGGTATTTTAATGTCCAATGCTTTCTCGATTGAGAGTAATTCTGCTTGAATCTGAGACACCATAAGAGCATAGCCTATCTGAAAGGACCCGGATTACTTGTACTTTATGCTTTCCAGAATTTCCTAAACTCTAATCTGCATTCTTTGAAATACGCATCAAATTCCGCAATGAATTTAGAAGACCGGGGTCATGGTGCATTGTGTCCCCATAATATATGAAAGCAGGCTTCATTGATATCGTAATTGGCAGTAGCAGACTGCAACTTTAGTGAAGTTGTCTGCCAACTTAAGCTCGTACCTAAACTCAATCTTTAACTTTTAAAGTAAAGTGGCATATATTTAGCCCAGATTTCAAGCTGCCGGGCCCATTACACAGTGTGAACTTACCATGGACAGAAGCTCGGGGTGACGCTAATAAGACGTAGGAATCGTTTTCAGGCCCATATATTTATATTTTCATTTTCTAAGGAACAACGAAAGGCTTGACTGGGTGGGTGGTTTAAGAATATCAGTTGTAAGTCACCATAGAGGTGGATATAAGGCCTACCTCATGATGTCCAAGTTGGAGGGCTAGGTTCACTCATCTGGTACACTGGCCATCAGGCTAGAACTTTTGTTTAAGCATAGTTCTTTCCCCCAGCCAGTTGTTGATTGGAATGCTCTTCCCCCCCCCCCCCCCCCCCAGTAAGATTTCTACCTACTTGAAGCCTTCAAAAAATCCCTTAAACTGAAATACCTACCCTGCAGCCTGCTGCTGCCTTTGCTGGGTATTATAGAATTTTTCCAGAACTATTCTTCAAATTTGTTATATTTTGGCATGGTGCTGAATTACTAAATGATCTCATTGAGGATGAGAAGAATCAGAATGGTTGGTGTTTTGTTCAGTGTCATGCTTTATTGTTGTTTTTTACCTGATGTCCCACAAGCCTATGAAAGTAATATTAGATGTGATTAGTAGATTCTTGTCATGTAGTTCTAGTTCAACTGGTAGGCCTATGCCAAGAATGCTTTTTCCTTAACATTGTACTCTAAAAAGGTGTTTGTGATGCCACCTCAGTTCACAATTTACTTTTGTTCCCATTGATTATGGCTTCTTCAGACTGATCAATCATACCATTCCTTGTAGCTTCATGCACAATTCTTGAAGTCTCCCTCATTGGCTTAATAATATTGCTTTTCTGCTCATAGGCCTGTCCCATTGTCAAATGACTTCATAGTGTTGTTAGTTGCTTGGGTGATTCACATCACTTCAGGCAACTGCCACCAGGCTGAAATTTGCAGGAGTTATCCAGGTGGCTCCTCACTCTATAGAAGGGAAAATTACCCTATTGGGTCTTTTACCTTACTGGTCAAAACAAAGACAACTTTCCTGAGGCAAACATTATCCCATCATTATATACACTGTAAACATTAACCCATTGGTTACATCCCCCCATTGGAGGGGATGGGTTCATTGTGATGGTTAGGGTTTCTTATTGAACATCCTTTAGATATGTTATTATTCGTTATTATTTTAAAGAAAGTAATAAAAGAAAGAGTAAGTCAGGATTTGAGGTTTTAACTCAATCTTTGGAACAACTGCTCAATTCTTTGTGCTTATCAATAGGATTCACAATAGGGGGCACAAAGTGTAACTATTTAGGGAACAGATGATGATTGAATAATGAGGACAGGGTTTGAGATCTGTACTGGACATGTACTTCATGGGAGATTTATTAAGGAAAAAAAAATACCAAAGCCCCTGGATTCCACTGTACTAGTCTTTCATCATATGGCTGTGAACCTGACCTAGCCTTGCTTCACTAGCTGCTTAATGTGCATATTGTTTCCTTTGATTATTACTCAGACTTGGACACTAACACTTCTCTTTCACCCTTTGGTGTCTTTTGCCCATCGTGTTGTTCCCAAGGCTTCCATTTTATTTATTTATTTATTTATTTATTTATTGCTCTGATTGAATGCCCTGCCATTATATCACAGTTAATGTTAGTGCTAATCTGTCCCACAGTATTAATCCAAAATCAGGTTCAATCAAGTTTAAAAACAAAATCTTTTATTTTAAAATAAATGAAAGTTCATTTCAGTTTTATTACATTCATGAGGAATTTATGCTAATGTGTTTAGGGAGCATTGATGGCTGATGAAGTTATTTCATTGTTCAGGTAAATGCTGATTTCATTAGTAATGATGCTTCTCACTTTTCAATTGCAGAGAGGAGAATCTGTGAGCATTCATTGACCTTGTCCTTAAACTGCTGTAGGGCAATCCTTGCTCCACTCACAAGATGGGTAGGGAGGACAAGACGGCATGGAAGGCCAATTACTTCCTGAAGTTGGTGGTAAGTTCATATGTTTCTGAGCGACACATAGTCCTGTGATGTCTCCCAAAAGCTGAATTAAGATTTGTACTTTGGCCTTACGAGGGGTGTATGAAAAGTTCTTAGCTCGAGGCACTTCCAGTTGCAATACACCAATCTTGTTTTCCTTATGAGAAGACTGATGTATTTGATGGTGACTGGCAAATTTTCATCTCATTTGTCAATTAAATATAAGTTTGATTAATTTTTTCCCATGTACCGCCAAGGGATCTGCTGAAAAGGTATTAAAATTGAGAAGAATGCCATAATGAATTTTCTTATCTCTAAGGAGTCTATTTTCTAGCTGATCTGGCAGAGAAGAGTCACTAGTATTTCATCCTCTCTGCTGCTGAAAGATCTGCCAAAAAATCAACTTCTTGGAGGTTAGAAATTCATCACAACATTCTTCTCAATCTTAATGCCCTTTCAGCAGACCCTTTGGTTGCACATGGAAAAATAAGTAATAGAAGCTATATTTAATCAAGGAATGAGATGAAAATTTGCCAGTCACTGTCAAATACATCTGTCTTCTCATAAGGAAAATAAAGTTGGTGTATTGCAATCAGAAGTGCCCTGGGCTTAGAACTTTTCTTACACCCCTTGTAATTTGAAGTTAAATTCAGTGAAGACTCTTTAGTGGCCAAGGTGTTCAGGCTTCTGAATAAAACTAGGTAGGTGAAGAATTGAGTCTGGGTGGTAACAGGCCCTTTTTTACTGCCAGCATCTGCTTCAATGGGGAGTGTTTGCTTAGTATAGGACAGCACTAACACCAAGATGTGTTTCTCTAGGAGACCTGGTGCAGTACACCCTAAAAAACAGCCTTTCTAGCCATTGGCGACATCATGGGGATGCCTTTACAGTTTCCTAAAGAAATGTAGAGAGGCATCCTTGCCTGAGGGACTATGACCTTGGTTTTGGTGTCTTTTCCAAGCAGGCTCCCTTGTTTTTATTTTGCCTGGATCATTGTCATGTGCATCTAGTGGATGCCCCATGTCCTATCTTTAAATTTAAAATGTCATTGAAATGCAAATTGTAAATATTTCATTTGAAAAAGTATTTGAAATGGCAGATTTCCATTTACCCATAACATCAAAATTCCTGGCAATTAGACTATTGTGCAACATGCCATTGATGTCAAGAATAAAGTTTGACATGAGTTTATTTCTAGGGCATTCGGAAAATGGTTAATTGCACCAGTGATTCAGCACAAATATAACTGCACATTCTCTCCAATAATTGCCTTAATTTCCATATGTGTTATGAATGCACAAATGTTGAAACCTTTCTAAGTTAATAACCCTTTGGGGATCAATGGACTCCAATGGGGAGGGGAAAGCTCCTTAGCCTCTAGGTCCTTTATGTCACCTCAATTAGGTTTCTGCATTTGGGCCTATTCCCCCATCAGTTAACTGAAGTTCCAAGAATAGCTTTTAATGAGGGGGAAATTTTCTTTTCTAGAAAAAGGAGAGGCTAGGAATGAACAAAAGTTCTTCCTTCTCTGATGTCATTTCTCCCTCCTCAATTTCTTTCTTTTTCTTCCTTTCACTCCAAAGATAAAAATATTTGATGATCCAAGGTATATACATTTATAATTGGGCTGTCACTATAGCAGTTTTCAACACATTGATGCATCAACCTGAACTATGTGTGTTGATGCATTGGGGGGGGGGGCTGGAGGATTCAATCTTTTCTTGCCACAATCAGGCAGAGGTTTGTCTTCCATAATTTCTTGTCTCAATTGGAGCATGGACCTCTATCCATCTTCCATAATCTCACCTTGTGATCAGGAGTGCAGAAGGAATGTGTGACCTTTGCAAGGAGTAATGAAACCTACCATGCCTCCAACTATTGAAGACAGGGCTTGCGTTTACGTGAAGGTGCGTGCCCTATACGCACAAAATTCAGAAGGGACGCACAACAGAAAAACATTGGGGTCCCAGGGACGTGCGGGAAAGTTCTAGATTTTCTGACTGGTTTTCAGACCAGTTGGCAGTTACCTCTTAGTTGCCTAAATAAACCTGTGCTCAACCTTATTACTGACAGGAAGGGGGAAGGGTCCTTGCTGAGGAAGGTGCGCAACATGAAAGTGATGAGAGCGGCACATGATGCATTGTGTTCACGCGTTCATTATGTATTTCTGTTGGTTTCAATTCAGACTTCAGGGCGGTTTGGGCCAACACTCTTCTCATTCAGTTACAAACAGAAAATGTACGATGTTAGTTTATTCTAATCACACATTGGCATGCGTTCAGATGTTCTTGAACATGGGCCTAATGGCATATAAAGAAAGGTATCAACAGCGTAGGTATAAATACTAAATGAAGGTGATGTCATTGTTCCACTTAGGGTGCACAGAGGGAAGATTGCCATAGGCCTTGACCTAGTCAAACTGAAGGGAAAGAGATGGACGTGGGCGATTATGAAAATGGGCAGCTTGTGAACCATGAATCACAACAAAGGAAAAAATATTTTTAAAATGGAAGAAGTTGTGGGTCAAAATGTATTCCTGGCTTTCCTATAGAAGTGGAAGATCTTCCTGTGATTTCTGCTCAAATGCAAATAAGAAAAATCCCTACTCAGCATCTGGCAGTCGTCATAAGCAGAAGTTTGTAATTTGAAAATTTGAAGATGCCCTAGGGATATTTGTTAAAGAGAAAATGTTGGAAGTAGTCCTAAAGGTGCTGGACTGAATATCATGCTTTTGGTCATGTTAAATCAAAGAAAAAACATTGTGGGATTTGAAACTTTTTGTGCAACTTTGCAAGATTTCATCACGCTTCAATTGCAATGGGGCCCCCAAATTTTTCTGAGTGACCCTTATAAGACTTGAGAGAGAGTCCTGAGGACCCTTAACCCTCAGAACGCCAAGATCGGGTCAAAATGGCCAGTTCTCCAAGGTTCCGTTGGATCGTTTCTTTTTTTGGTATCTACTTGGGAAATAAATACATAAATATCTTTAAAAGGTATGTGTAGCTTCTATTCTGAACAAAAACCTCATTCGTTATGAGAAATACATATGGGTAAAAAATGACCCGATCTTGGTGTTTCGCGGGATGCAAATGATCTTGGCATTCCAAGGGTTTAGGCAAGAAAATTAGCACAAGCCCTGGAAGGTGACTTTCATTCATCAATGGATGCATCAGGATGGCCCTAATTTTTTCTTATTGCTGTTGAGAATCAGTTCACATAATTCACAGCTTGTTCACATAATTTTTTTTTCTCATTTTCTTCATTCTATGCAGTCTTTGGGCATTGACACCAGTAGATAGGAAGCCTGCCAATGATGCCATACTGATGGTTGCCAAAATACCAGAACAGCCCTAGAATAAGGAACATCTGTGTACAAAATTGTCTTTGAGTTCACCTTAAGTAGAAATAAAATGCCCCAGGGCAAGTTGAAAAGTAAGAAAGTAAAGCCTGCTTTCTAAAGAGAATGACTGGAATATAGAGAGGATTAACCAATGTACATTTCAAAAGCAAGGGAGTATAAGAACATTCCACTCCCATAGCATGCACCTGATGAGATCAAGCTGAAGACTGAAACAGAAGAGAAAATATTCTCAATCTTCCCCCCCCCCCCCCCTCCTTTCCTACTTGCTGTCTCCAATCTGACTTTTCTTTCCTTTCCCCTCCTGGACAAACTTTATTGTACTGTACTCGCCTATCTATCCTAAACTATTGATATCTCCAACCATCTATAGTGGTATTGATGCATGAATCTATCATGACAGCCCTAATTTATAGTAGTAGTCCCTGTTTTTTGCCAAGATATGGCCTTCATTGAAAGGTAATGGGAGGATATCTCTTTCTGTCAAGTTCTTGAGTGCAGCTGAGATCCTGAGAATGTGATAAGAGTAACCAGATATGTGAAAATGAATGGGTCACATAAAAAGGGAGGGAAAAACGAGGGAAGGCCAGTTTGATTTAAAAGAGTCCTGTTTTCTTCTGGATTCTTCATATTGTTCAGAACTGGAAAGGGTGGAATCCTTTTGGGTGCATGTCTTTATATCGACGGATGGAACCAAATGAGAAAACAAGAAAGTTAAAAGCCATTTCACTCTTCATGTTCATTGCATGTGGAGCATGCAATAAAGAAGTATTTGCAGGATGTTCAAGATTTTCATGTTTGCATGCTTTGTCCTTCAAAGCTGATGTAAGGCCAATGTGTCCAGTCACAGATTTGACAGCATTTCAATACTCTGTGACATTCTTCTACTAAAAGTTCCTTCTCTCTCATTTCATTGGTAAAGATGCTAATTCACATATCTCCAAATATATGACTTAAGAGGAACAAAAAACTATAAAAATTTGACAATTATGACATTTTCAGGTATCATGAGAAAGGTAATTCAAGAAGAAAGAAGAACTAGCATTTGCAAGGTTTTAGCAGCAGATCCTGCCACCACTGTGCATTTTAATGGTACCAGAATCTGAAAACCTATTTATTAAATTGAACTGATCCTGATTTAACATGGAAGCCTTCCATTTTGTGAAAACTTGTCGCTATAAATAGACATACAAGTGTCTGCCTATCTGCCTGATCATTTGCACAAGGGATAAGACACACAAAGTGTGAAGCACTCTTGAGGGAGTAGGAGAGAAAGTTTTTTGTTTTTTTCTCTGGGAAGGGAAAAGCCAGCAAAAAAGAAATTGGGATGGGAGGAAGAGCAGGGTAAAGAGGTGGGCTGCATTTATTTTTCTTGTTTCTCCACCTCTATTGTCAAGGCCAGAGAAACATCTGCATCCCAGCACCTGGAGATACCTTCATTATTTTAAATGTGGGTGACTAAGGAGGCAGGTGTATTTAATTGGGTAGCTGGTTACATGATTAGCCATTGTGACTCCTACTCTTCAGCAATTGATCTTCTAAATGTCCCAGAATCTTATTCGTATCTTGTATGGTTCTTGACTTACAGCATAATGGTTAAAGCAGCTTTACAACCTGGAATATTTGCACTAAAGGTAAACATACTGTATGTTGAGTATATTTCTAAAATGAAAATGATGTCTTTGATTTTCAGGGGCATACGTTTTCAAGGTATGGCCTATGTCTTAAAGTTATTTGGTATAGGTGTACCCTTGTAACAGAATTGTGTGTCAAAGACATCCAAGTGGTCATGTTTATTTAAATTTCCTTTTCAGGAAAATTGGTAACATATTCTGGGAGTCTTCAGTTTCTGTCAAGAAAAGTAGATATACATGAATAAGAAGTTTTATCCCTTCGTGTTTCCTGTGTCTTATATGTCATGATTTCACTTTCAGATGCCAACCTCAGTAATGATGTTGTTATTTCATCTCCATGCAAAATTAATTCATTTACAAAACAAAAAGGTTTCATTTGAGGAACCATTGGCAATTTTTCCCATTTAATCAATTCATCACTAAAATTTATAATTCTCTATTTCTTGGGGAAGGAAGACTTCATGAGATTCTGTATTTTGTCTTTCAGCAACTCCTGGATGAGTACCCAAGGTGTTTTGTTGTTGGAGTTGACAACGTAACCTCCAAACAGATGCAGCAGATCAGATCATCTCTTAGAAGCCAAGCTGTCATCCTTATGGGGAAGAATACCATGATGCGAAAGGCAATTCGTGGTCATCTTGAGAACAACCCCATGTTGGAGAAGTGAGTGAAGAAAGTTATACATAGATCTATTGGCAGGCCTGCAACAGGAGAGCACCATTAGAAGTCCAATTATTGCTATTGGCTTATCAATTATTATATGGGTGGGAGACATGGTGAAAAAATGGACTTCTTTTCAGCATTGAGTATGTGAATTATTGCCAGTTGAGTTTCAAACCCTTCAACTACCAAGTTTCTTTCACTGCGTAATTTAATTGACATGGGTTTTGGAGTGCAAGCTGCTGTGTGAGAAAAGTCTACTACCACAGCAAAAAGAGTTAAAGTTAAGACACTGGTCTTAGCAAGTATGGAACTCCGAAATGGACTGTAGAATTTACTTTACTGTCATCAAAAATTTACTTTTATTCACCATTGCTAATCATTCAGGGGAAGATGATCACTGAGGATGATGATGATCACTGGATGATGATGGTCACTCATTTTATTCTTTTAAAAAAATACATTTTAGAGGCAAGTGTGGAACCACATCACTTATTTTCAGGAAAAAAATCCTTTTGAAGCTTCCTCCTATAGTTGTTGGTTTTTTCTTTTAGTGAAAAGTTATTTTTAATTTGTTCCAGGTTGCTGCCCCACATCAAGGGAAATGTGGGGTTTGTCTTCACGAAGGAAGACTTGGTTGAGATCCGAGATTTGATTTTGGACAACAAGGTGAAAGCCCCTGCAAGGGCTGGAGCAATTGCACCCTGTGATGTAACTGTGCCTGCCCAGAACACTGGGCTTGGTCCTGAGAAGACATCATTTTTCCAGGCTTTGTCCATTGCCACCAAGATTTCAAAGGGCACCATAGAAATAATTGTAAGAGTTTCTTATATCTCAGAAAAGCTCAGATCAAAGAATGTGTGTCTGCAAGAGTGGTTTTTGGCCTTCTTTTAACCCTCATCACCCTTATCCAGACAAGGTCTTTTTGTGAAGCAAATGGGCAAGTGCAAAATTTGTAATAATTTTCCCTTAAAAGCAAATCAAAATTTAACATTCTTTTTTTTTTTCCTTTACTACTGATAACTGTTTATAAAAGATGTGTTAAATTTGTAGAAAATTTTTAAATTATTTCTCAAGAGTAATTTAATTACATTTACCCTGGGTAGTCCAAGGGAATCCTGTTGCCCCAGATAGGGGTTAAGAATGTGCTATGTTATGGCATCATCATTTTTCCACTGTAAGAAGGGCACTTAGTTCCGTTATGCAAAACATGTTACATACAGATTGATTGATTGATCCAGAAGTGACTTGCCCTGAAATAGGCAACCTCATGCTTTACATTGTTGCACATTTCTTGCTGCCCTTGGTGCTATTTATTGACATGATTCCTGGCACATAAGTGATCACACTCTTATACTTGATGTTACTTTTCTATTACTCTATACTGCATGGTAAAAAAACTTAAACATTTGAGATTCCTGGGCTGCAACAGGAGAGAATGGCAAATAAGATAAACATTGTCTTTAAGAGCCATGCATGGATTAATAGAGCTAAAAGGAGCTCTGCTCATTGGCTGAATCTATCACATGTTAAGTAGTTGGGTATTATTCAGTAGTACAGTCGAACTTGGTTATAACAAAAAGTGCCAGGTCCCAGCATAGAGCCCATAAGGCACATTACATTTTACCTTGGGTATAGCGAGAATCTCTGTTATAACGAAGTCCATTCAAGGTCCCACTGACAAAATTGACCAAGTTGATGTCCCTAATTCATCATTTTTAACTGGAGTTTCAATCATTGAAAAAATGAGTGTTGGCAAGCCATAACTTTATCTTTCCTGGAATTGGCATTCCTTGAGAGTCTTGGGTGAGGGAGGGATAATCCCCAGTAACTAAAAATATAGTCTTCTGTTGCCATTTGCATTTCTTGCTGGCAACATGGCCAGTGGAAAGCGAAAGAGGCAAGCTTTCATGATTGAAAGGAAATTGTGCGATTAGTTTAATAGAAAGTGGTCGAAGTAAAGCTAGCATTGCTCATGAACATGGACATCTGTTCTTCTGTTTCCAAAATTTGGGAAAATTGTAAGAGCTTCATCCTTGCTTACGAGAACATGTCACAAAACAAGAAACTTCCTAGATCTGTCGACGAGGCCTTGCTCTAAAGCATAAAGTAGTTCAAGGTCCAAAGAAATGCAACCATCACGACTAGTGGGTCAATCCTGAAACTGAAGCTAATGGGGCATAACCGATATACACAGGAGTTGTAACATCATATAGCATTCATTTTGAAAACAGGAAAACGGAATGTCAATAAAGGCAACCTCAGTTATAATGACGATTTTTCCCTGGTCTGTTTGATGATGTTATAACCGAGTTTGATTGTATAATTTTAATTCTCAGTGAGCCCAAAATAATTGTGATGAAGCAAATTGTTTTTGCTAAAACGAAAACGTATATATGCTGACATGGTAAATGAATCATGTCTCTATATTAAAATGAAGAGACATCTTGCAAATGGCAGAACTATTTCTACATGATGGACACATGGTATAGTTTATCCAGGCATTAACTCTTTCGCTGTGTAGTAGAATTGATATGGGTTGGGAGGACTACCTGCTGTGTGAAAAAGTCTACCACTGCAGCAAAAGAGTTGAAGAGCAGAGGGATCTTTAGACACCCACAAAGGGTGGCAACTCTCACCTCCAGGGCATGGCAAATGACCTTGTAGAAGGCCTGGCATTGTCTCCCCCTTGGCTTTGGGCATATCTCAAAGTGGAATGTGTCAGTGCTGCCAGAATTTTTTTCATCAAGAAGCTAAGAGAATATGAAAGGGTGACATGCATTAAATCATATGACCTTTAGATGCCAAATGTTTCCAAATTTGAACAGAGCATGATAGTGAAAAAACATGAATTTTGCCATGTTTGAACACTGCATGTATATGGAGAATTTCAATTGTCACCATATTCAAACGGCACAGAATATTTTCCTTTTATACCCCTATAAAAGGAATATTCCGTGGAAAGGAAGATTCCATCCTCGTTGAATATAGCAAAATTCAAAATTTTCCACTGACATACTCTTTGGGTATGGAACTGCTTGGCACATAAAGTTAAACTTAAAATTTGTGCATTAAAAATCTTTTCTATAATATCTCCTCCAGGCAGGATGTAATACAAATTTTCCCACTGGTGAAAGAAGGCCATCACTGCTCAACAAGTCAACTAATCCGAGCTAGCAAACTCCTGAGACAGGTCAACTTGGTTCACCTACCTGAGGACATGGATAATTCCCTTCAGCTGTCTCATTTCACTTCCTCCTTGTCATTTTTACAATGGACCTGACAAATTGTCCTTAATGGCAGTCATGGTTCTTATCTCCAACTCACTCTCTAATGCTTGGATGAACTGTATTGGGTCATTACATCTCAATTCATCCATTTTTTTGTGATCCATCATTTGTAATAGGGGTAACTTTGGCATCGTTTTCAATTAGTTGGGTATTGGGAGTGCCCAAAGCTTTATGGGCACATCCTTTGTTGTTTACTTTTAAACTGACCATTTGCTCTTCTGCTCATTTTCTTATTCAGAATAGTGTGAAGTTGATCAAGGAGGGAGAAAAGGTTGGTGCCAGTGAGGCCACTCTCCTCAACATGCTGAACATCTCTCCCTTCACATATGGTTTGGTGGTACAGCAAGTCTATGATTCTGGAACTGTCTTTTCTCCTGAGATTTTGGACATCACGAATGACGACCTTCGGGCCAAGTTTTTTGATGTATGGTGATTCTTGGAATAATCCAGACACTATTAATCATAATGTATTCAAATATGTTCATCATAAACCCATTTTTAATGTTTTTCTGAAGGGAGTCAGGAACATAGCAGCAGTGTGCCTCCAAATTGGATACCCAACAGTTGCATCTGTTCCTCATTCTGTTATCCATGGGTTCAAGAACCTGTTGGCTATTGCTGCCATGACTGACATCGTCTTCAAGGAGGCTGAAACTGTGAAGGAGTACTTGAAGGTGAGTTCTATTATCCCTTTTAATTCTGCAGAAACCAGTTCTGATGTACTATAGTTTATGTACTTAGTGTCCAAAAAAATAATATACACTATAGCAGCTGTTCCCAAACTGTGGGTCGCAAGAGGCATCAAGGTGGGTCGTGTACATTTTCCCGGAATAAAAAATCACTATATCCGCATCCACTCAGGATAAAACATGCCCTGCAGAAAAGGTCTATCAGTTTTCTTCACGTCATGATTACTTTGAAAATACCTTGTTCTGGATTCCTGTGGGTAATGAAATTTTCTGAATGTCAGCAAGTGGGTCACAATTCTGGGAACTGCTGCACTATGGCATGTCAATACCTAACCCCGTTTATACATGGTGGGCCAAGTAAAAGTTCCAAATTTTTCATTTTAATCATATTCACTAATTGAGATTGGCACCTGCAGTTTGTTATTGCTTAGAAAGCCTAGATTACAATCAAGCACACTTCATTTTGTGAGAATCATTTCAGAAGTTTTAGCTGTGATGATTTTACAACAAGAGGTGTAAAATTGCCTCTTCACAAACTGGTTTCTCCCTCTCCAAAATACATATGCATGTATTTTGGAGACCAGTATTACACACAAAAACATTCCCTATAGGCTGAGAGCCTTGCTCCTTTGAACTGCTTGCTGTACAAACAGGGCCCTTCGGCTTGTTCATGATTGGTGTCAGTAAGTTTGTCATGCAGGAGTAGTTTTCCACCTCTTGCAATGAAATCACTGTGCAAATACTTCTTAACTGACTTAAAATATAGAAGAAAAAGTGCATTCTGCTGTAGCTTAGCCATTCTAAACAATGGTTCAGATAGGCACTTAATTAGCAAAAATGTTACTGCAGTATGAAAAAATTGGAACTCTTTTTGGTCCACCCTGTATGCTGTTTTTTTTTATGGAACATCATTTCCATTATGGATTGTGTAAGGTACTGACAATTACAGGCATGTCATTTTAACTCTTTATAGTTCACTGGGAAATTAATTTTCCACCTTGTATATTGCTTCATCTGAGAGAAATGGTGGGATAAATACTTGCCACCAGAGCAAAAGAGTCATGTACATGCCCTTGAATTGTTATTGCGTAGATGTGGCATTGGAACGTTTTTTCGCAATTTTTACATGGTGTGTAACATGTAAGGAGTCTGAAAATAAGATAATTTTTTTAGGAACTCCCAGTCTTTTGCCCAACGAAGGATTAACCCATTGCTGTACGAAATTTTGGTGGTGCCAGTGGTTAAATCAGCAAAAATTAGCATTTTTGCAAGCAAAAGAAGTTTTGATATCTGATGAATTTACTTTGTTAAATGATCAGTAAACTATCAAGAATCGACCAAGTATCGAATGGAAAATGCGTTTAGAAAATATAGAACAAAAATGCATGTTCCAACATGTCAGGTGACAAGTATGCCCATCTTTCCACTGCAATAGGTTAATGCATGTGATCAAAATAGCCATCACCAACTGGTAAACGTGCTTGACATGTGAGATACTGACTAGCTCACAGTCCACTGGAATTTGTTGAAAATAGTCCATGATGTTCTCTTTCAATTCTTCAATTTTTGCCAGTTTTGAATCGTACACCTCATCCTCCGTAATTCCCCAAACAAAAAATCAAGGGGGGTTGAGGTAAGGAGATTGAGGAGGAAACTCAGCCTCCTCACATCTCCCAATCCATCATCCTGGAAGTGTTGCATCAGGAAATTGGCTTGAAGATAGGGCACAGTGAGGGGGGGGGGGTTGCTCCATTTTCCTGAAAGAAGGGTAATTATCCAAACATCTGCCTAATCTCTGGTATCACTGTACTCTGTTTTCCAGTACCATTTCAAAACCTGTACTCATTCACTAGTAAATGTGCCTCACCATAGTTTCTGCCATCGTGAACATCAGTAGTACCAACTTTGTTCTTCCATTTGCAACATCTGTTCTGTTTGTGTATTTCTTTTCAGACCACTTTTGAAATTCCAGTGTGTATACGTTTTTTGTAGACACCCTGTATATGCTGCCTTTTATTTATCTGTTTTGGTGGTGTACCCAATCCCATGATTGTAGTTATTATAAACTTGGTATGAACATTTCTCCCCATGCCTGTTGTGGAAAATTCTTATGGTCTTTGTTGATGTGATCAAAACAAAAGATCATCTTCTCTGATGATGTGATCTGAAGATGTTGTTTAGATCTTCAAGGTCAATTCCTTGAAGATCTAAAACCACTACAAATTTGAAACAAACTAATGGCTCCCACTCTTCCAGGACCCAAGCAAGTTTGCTGCAGCAGCCACACCAGCTGTAGCAGCAGCAGCAACATCTGGAGGGGGTGAGGCCAAACAGGTAGCTGTCAAGGAGGCCCCCAAGGAGGAAGAGTCAGAGAGTGAAGAAGAAGGTGGTTTGGGAGGTCTCTTTGACTGAAGACTCCTTGCACACAACAGCAAGAAGAGAGGGTGAAGGTATAGAAGCTATGAAAGGAGTGGCCACCTGAGGGGCTTTTGTTGTGGTACCATTCTCGAAGCAGCATGTTCTATAGATTTTGCCCTCTCAGAATAAAAGGAGTAAGAAGGTAAAAGTGGATATTTCTTTCAGCACGAATCCTGCATTTTGCCCTGCTGGCAACTGGAAAAGATGGCTGTTAGGACTCTTGACAAGGTGTATAATGAACTGTACCTGGGTAATTGTTGAATATTGGGTATTCAAGTAAGCTATTAAATCCTTTCATACCAGATTGAGTAATGTGACCTCTGCTCTCAGTTGCCTTTATAAGCATTTCAATATTAAATATTGACAGATAATTTGATTCTGGAGGTTTGCAAATTCCAAAGGAAAAGGCAATCATAGGGCTGATACTTCAGCTAGGCCAATATTCTGTTAGCCCACACGAGTTGAAAAATTCTCCACAAACTTGGTGCTGCATTCTGTCCTGTATGCTGAATGGTTTGTCGTAACGTGTCATAAGTTCTGTCTCTCGTGCTCAACTGAATGTGACAGGGTTAAATGTTGAGCTTCCATGTCGAATTTCTTCCACCCTAAAAATTACTTTATCTGGGATTCCTTTAGGTACTATGGGGGAATGCCAGGTATTTTGGTCGGTTTGTCACTTTTTTCTTCATTCCGTCTATCCGCAGTAACCATAGCAACCGGACAACACGACCCAATGCGTACGCGCGGCTTTCCGCCTGGGTCGGTGTGCCCAAAGACCTTATGCTAAGATGACTGGACACCGCGAAAGCAGGGTAACCGCAATGGCGGTCTATGCCCTGGTGGTTGGCCCTCGAACTAACGAAGTCTGACGCCATTTCTATTGCGCGTGACTGATTGACATGGCTGGCGGAAGACCATGGAGAGGAGAGGGGGAAAGCAATGTTTGGAGGATCTCCCGGGAAGTGCAGGATTCGTGCTGAAAGAAATATCCACTTTTACCTTCTTACTCCTTTTATTCTGAGAGGGGGAAAGCAATGTTTGGAGGATCTCCCGGGGGGGGGGGGGGGGGGGGGGGGTGCTACGATTCTTGAATTCAGACAGAATTGCAAGACGATGCATGCTGCGTCGATTACATATGTATAGTACATCCACAAATTTTTTTAGAGAGATGTCACTAGTAGGTATTACTTCCCATACTTGGGGTAACAATGGCCCTATGGGCCCACTTTACTCCCTTCTACATCGTGTCAACGCGTCGGAGTAGGGGAAAATCTTTGACACTTCAAGAACAGCAGGCCATCCTGAATATGCAAAAAGCGGGGAAGACAATTGACGACACAGAGCAGATTTTAATGGTCAACCCGGCAACAGTTTCTAACGTTCAGAAGAGGAAACAAGCGAAGGTGATGGAGAAGAGGGGACAGAAGAGGATTCGGTTTTCGACTATGGATTCCTTGGCTCCTTGCTTATTTTGAGAGAAAAATCCCTGATTCAACATATGTATTATGTTACATGACTTTTTCATGTCGAATTTCGACAGAACTCTGTTACGGTGAATATTCCAAGCAAATGATCTCTATGTAAAAGGGAAAGGAGAGGTGTACCAGTGAGTAGATTAGTGGAGTGAAAGAATCACAGGCTCAAACACGGTAATATCATATACTTTTAGTGATGGAATCAAGAATGTAACTCCGATTAAGATTTGCACCAGTTGTGCAATGGATGACGCCAGAACTTTCTCTCCCACTCCCAGGTGTTGGTTAAAGTATCACCACAAAATTTAAATTAAGTCTTGCTGTGAAGCAAGGGCATGTTGGCCACTCTCTACAGTCAAATTGGTCCACTGATTCAGCGGGATTTGCAGATCTTTGTCAACCCATCTATTCACCACGTCAATAGCTCTCCTCAGATTCATTCAATTGTTCGAATGCAACATAGCCTGAGGCATGAGAAGCACCCAAGGATGACGATGATGATTCCCGCTGAAATGCTTGGGATTGACAATGTTGTGCTTCCTGAATGTCTTGCAATGGAGCCACTCTGATAGTGAAAATCGACAAAATATTTTGTTTAGGTCTCGGCAGGATTCAGAAGCCGGATGCTTTCATATGGCCAGCACTTTTGCATTCTTCCAAGCTGAGATATGATGACAGTAGGGAGAACATTGGGATCATCCTTAATGCAATTATTGCCTCATGTATGGTTAGTCTTGTATACTTCAGTGACATCTCTCTAAAAAAACTTTTGGATGTACTTGCTATAGCAAGGTATCAGTTTCTTTTTTGTTAATTTACGAACTGCATTATTTTCATGAACTGAAATTGTGATCGCTGGATCACAATGGCAATCTCATCTATTGCCAAGAACATTTTGGCTTAGCTGCCAGCAACGTGTGCAAGTAGAAGCCAGCTGTAACTCAACTGGACCCCAGGAACATAAGGCTGTAAATCCAAAGCAAAGCTGCACCCACAGCCTGTTTTTGTCCCTTCAAAATTGAAGTCATTCCATTCTAACAGGCCTGTCAATCCGAGACGCGAAAATGTTGACTTCGTTAGGGTCATTGAGGTTACTCAGCATTTTACTTCATCCGCCTGTTACATGTATTGTAAAGCCATGACTGTAGGCCTAGTGCAAAGCCCTTGGTGAACACATGCGCGTGCCTTTCCGGATCCTTGGGAAACCGATGCAACAGAACATCTCCATCCATTTGGCCAAATTTCTCCTGGCATGGTGCGTAGGCGCAGTACTTGGATCCAGAAGCAGCCATATTTCACGCGACATTCTAATCCAATGATCCCATTGGTCAGTTCTGCGTAGTTCTGGGGCCAAACACCAGGGCAGGAGGTTTCCCCGACATCAAAGGCGCCGCCACAGAGTGCCCAGTCTTCTTAGTATAAGGTCTTTGGGTGGGCCCCCGTCTTCCACGAAAATATCCACTTCCCTTCCAGCCCTGGCGGTTGACTGATCCATAGTAGACAATGGAGGAGAGCGGCTGCTTCAGCCGCGTAGACAGGGTTGCTAGGTGTACGCGTGAAATGCCGTATCTGGCAACCTATACTTCCCACTCTCCACGCGACGCGGACACGCGGACCATTGAGAACGTGTCAGTTTGTCAAGGCATTTTCATATAGGCCTACGCCGAACCAATGACAGCTATTATTTATTTGAAGGTTGGATGGTTAGGATGCGGTGAATATAAATAAATCCATTGGTTCAGGGGCCAGTGGAGTGCCAGATCTGTTCCTGGGCTGGTACTCTAATGTGTTGGATTCTCATTTCTGGCACAAAGTAACGAGCTGGCGTCTCTTTCTTGCACTCCATTCCAGTGAACCTGGTGCGTGGAGTATGAACAGGAATATTGTTGCTGTTCCCCCTCGTAAGTAACGTGGATTTTGGGAGCCTCAATTAGCTCTGCTAATTAACGCGTTCAACAAATTTTAATTTTAATTTTAATCGCATTTTATTTCCATGGATTCTGGTCGTTATAGAGCCTCGCATAAGTTACAGCACAAAATGGTCAAAAAACACCATGAGCAAAATTGTCTCGGAAATGCATGCAAAGTCATCGTTTAAATCTTGATGTGCTGGTTTTTGGATGGCGAATTTGCATTTCTTATTCGAAAGTTCTTGGATGATTTAATCCATGGTCTTCATTTAAGTAGCACACCACCAGCAAAAATCGACTTTAACAAAAAAATTACCTCAAAATTCTATTGTATTCATAGCTTTACTTCCCATAAGCTATCATTTGTATTCAAACGTTGAAAAATCGTACTAATCTGCTTAATTAGCCCTAATTAGTAGTCAAGGTGGTCGTTCAGTCCTCCTTAGCAATGGCTATAGTTCTTGGATATGCATGGTTTAGTCCAATATTTTCGCGAAAAGCCAGTGCCAATAGATTCAGAATAATCTCTAGTACCATCCAATATCAGCCAATCACAGGCCTTGCTTCACGCTTGCCCGATGCAGCACGATTTCCACGAGCACGTTCGACTGACTTCATCTCCATTTTCAATCGATCTTCATCAACATTCGTCATCCGAACTCCGAAGATTTTCACCTTTTTTGTCGCTAGCCAAGCATTTTGATGTCATCTAACCTGTGGATTTGATAGGAATCCCGTGACTGGTTCCCAATATATTTTACTTTGAAAAACACTAATCTGGTTTTTGGTGACAATATTGGTAGCAAATTTGCATAATTTTTCGTAAATTTGCAAATACATCACACATACTTTACTTTGGTGCATTTGTTTCATTGACATCCTATAAGGCCTCAGAAATCATTTGCATGTGCTACCATAATCGGCAGTTTCTACCGTGACTCCCGAAACGCGGATCAACGAGGGAGAACTGCGTCTGATCGATGGCAGTAAAGAAAGCCTTGTTTTAATTCAGGATGAATTTCTTGCAGCCTTTCCACTGCCGATCGGCGTCGAGATTGCCTCGTATCGCTACTGGCAATTGTCCGGACTATTTAAGAAAACCCTCGAAAAGGTAAACGGGAAGTTCCGTGTTCTAAGCAGTGGCGTGCCCAAGGGGGGGGTTTGGGGGTCATCAGGGGGGCCCCCTTGGGGTCAATTTTACACGTTCGATTCTCACAAATTTTTTTTTATTTTGCCACAATACAGGGTGAGTTATCAGTTTTTTTTTTAATATTAACCCCCCCCCCCCCCACCCCCCTCCCC